AACTAACCCTATACTAACTCTAAGTCTAAATCCCCTTTTGGTTCCACCAATCATCGGAGACTAGACCTGGCCTTTCCTGACCCTAACCCTTCCTGTTCGCACCACACACTGCGCCGCCCGAAGCCGTCCACCGCAGACCGGGCCTGGCCGCCCGAATGGCTCCAGCCAGGCGCGTCGAGTGGGTGCTAGGACTACGGGTATGTCCATCTTGGCAACGCAACAACAGGATAACCAATCAATATAAAATACTCCATGTTTTAAAACTGTGAAAATGAAGCTTCTGCTGTGTAATTACGCAGAACCTCTTAATAATGATATCTATAAACTGTTCAAACAATTAAATTTAGAAGTACTACTAATTTGAAAACTGTATTACATGTTGGAGAAGCTCAATATTAAATCTTACAAGTATTTGATACAAGAGTACGCAATTTTGTCCAATCATAGTCCATGGATGATTGTCATTGGCCACTTGCTGGCCGGGAATTACATGAATCACCTTAAAGATAACTGTAAACACCAAATTTCCCGGATAACGTACATTTATTCGAAATTGTACCGGATACACTACAACAAATGCTGTGGAGGATAACGGAAGTTTAATTTTACAGTTAACGGTTTAACGGCACGGTGCGACGGTTTCTACCGGAAACGGCATATTTTTACCGCGAGACGGCAAATCGGCCATTTTTGCCGTTTTGTGACCACCCGACGGTAAAATACCGGAGCCAATCATAAACCACAAAGCATCAAATTTCCACCAATAAAACGCATATATTTGAGCATGGACACTTCCATACCAATACTGACAGCTCTCAACAGGCGGGGTGCGAACTTCACCACTGACGAGGACTGCCAGCTAGTTTGTTCGTGGTTGAACATATCCCAAGATGAGTTGAAGGGGAGCGGGCATAAGGCCGAGCAGTTTTGGGCCCGCGTGGGGGCGACTATTGCACCTATTGCGATCCGGACTGCCATCGCACAGTACGATCCTTAGCTACCTGGTGGAGCAACATACTGGAGTAATGCAATAAGTTTGTTGGGTGTTCATTATGGTCTCTTTTAACGTGCGCACTTGGTCCCGGTGTTTGGTGTGGTCCATTACTCGTGGTTAGGATCTCCCAAGCGTCGTCCATGTCCTCGTCCATGCCTAGATGGGTATTGCACAAGGTTCACCCCAAGCCTCCATATGCGGAAGTGACAGTTATGCGGATTTTATACCGTTTTACCATTGGGGTTGCGCAAAAGTAAAATACAGTGACGGTAAACGTCAAATTACAGTCTGATTATACCGTCGCACCATTGGGGATGCCCTAAGAATATGTATGCTGTTTTTGCTTGTTTTTGGTGATTTCATTTTTCTAGGATTCGATTGGCTATTTCAAAAATCAAGTGATTCCATGAAATAATTTGAATGCAACATAAACTACCGGTGCACTATAAACTGGCCATCTACGTTACGTGGACTCTCGGAGTAAGTTAACTTAATATTCATCGATATTCCGAGGTTATTAATACTGTCCGTTTGGGCGGAGGAATGCAAGAATGGTTTCTCCCATAACTTTTACCCTAGGAGGTATTTCCTTGATCCAAAGGTATATTTGAATTCAGGAGTTTAACGTGCAGTCCGTGAGGGGTTTTATTTTGCCTGGAATACCAAGTTTGAAATGAAGTTTCAGCACCTAATGAACGTACTTAATGCAAACGCATTTTTAAAACAGGTACATCGAAGTATACTATACTTGAATCGTAAAATAAAATAAAAGTTAAATAATCTATAATATTACTATATCATAGGTACAAATTATTAAAAGTATTGAGCAAATCTAACTATTTAAATAGTCTACTTCATTATAATACTACGTTTCATCGCTGGAATCGTTGCTTGCGAACGCAGAGCACAGTTTTGTAGTTGGGCCTTCAAGCTCCAGCAAGCAGAATATGTGATCGAAGACGAAGAGATTAAAAAAAACTGCGTTAAAATCGGCCCAATGGAAAATTTCTTTGCATTCGATTCGCCCAAACGGACAGTATATCCTCTCTCTGTTGATAACCTTCGAACATTCCTTCCGACTGGCTGATAGAATTATTTATTCTGTAATGTGTCCAGTAAGAATACAGTAAATACGTTCTCCTCCTTGCTTGTCACAACGTTTGTGCAAATATCATTTTTTTGACTGAACTAACTGTAAGTTATTTTCCCTACTACCTCTACTGGCACCAGCAATAGATTCGGAGAATGGAAACGTTTGGTACATGTCATGCGGTTTGGCGTTCTATGTATGTTCACAATCGATGCAGCAATTTGGGAGAGCTTGCCACCACCTTCTCTCTCACCAAGGACCCTCTCCCGATTTTCTCACATACTGTAACACAGTCGTTTGTTTCGGTTGTCGAACTGGTACTATACGGTATTTTAATACAGTACTTCGAAGTAGTATTGATGAAGAGGAGGGATAAATTGTGATTTTGAGCGCCTTGGTTGGCGGGGGAATATTTCACTGGATGTTGAAGTTCCAGCGCAACTGTCAAAGATAAGTCGCGAAACTGTACTCTACACTGTACTTATTCCCTATACTACAGCTGTATAGTACTGTAGTTGTCGCAATTTTTCAGCGAGTCACTCGTGCTCACAGTCCTCAAATGCCCACCGACAACGTATATGTACTCCTCCAACCTATGCTAACGTTAATCACACAACGTTACCGGCAGTAGTACCGGTATGTCGTACTACTTGTTTGAGCTACCGTACTACCGGTAGTTCCGTACACACAATGTGTAGTCAATTATACTACTGTATGAAGAAATGTTAGTACACGTACGTAGTACTGTACAGTACCTAGTAGACATGAATTTCTCAATGTCGCTAATTTATACTTCGAAGTACTAGTTCTAACAGGTACTTACCGGTAGTGCAGATGCTAATAGGGTAAGTCGCAACATGATGGACGTTCGGGTTTCATCAAATGAGGGAAACTAGCACGACACAAAGACAACTTACATTTATGGTACAATCGTTCCCTACCTGTACGGTAGTCGTTCACAGCTATTAGTACTACGTATAACTAGTACTAGCCCTCCCATACATAAGGAAATAGAAACGACGTGCAAAACGTCATGGCTATGCACTGGACAGCCTTGCCAGCGTGAAAGGCCGCAACAACCATATCACACATGAAAGTGGGGCAAGCTTGGGTCGTAATTTAAAGTCGCCATACTGTAATGTGGTATGTATCCTGGGAGATTATGTACCGTATGCCCAGCTGACATGTGAGCACAGTCCAAGTGTCTGGGTCACAGTTAGTGTAGGGAAGTGGTAGGGATCACTGGGCAGTGTGGGAACAATGGGTAGGCTTAGCCGTTGGCAGTACTATACCCGACGGTGTCGCCCCACCTGCTAACGACAGAAATACGCGCCCTTGGTATGAATCCTCATCGACAGCGAGGAACGAAGACCAGACATTTGAGAGGTGTGATATTACTTCAAATTGAAGAATTACCAGTTATTCGTTGAAATTAGTGTGGTGTTGATGGGAATCGGCTGCTGATGCAATCTGGGCATGCCAGGGACATGATGACTATTTAGGGTATTCTCCCCTGCCATGCCTCTACCCTATATTCCAAATCCTTAAACTAGATAGATCTTGGGTGTTGGCATTGGTCGCACTGGAACAAGGCACCATAACGGGCTCGAAGGGCGCAAATCCTACGTTCCATCGCCTAAGCATGGTGCGGTGACAGGTTTAGTCTCAAAGTGTGTGTGCCTTAGGCTACACATATCTATCCTCTTGATTCTTGAGAAGTTGAGATGACCAATCACATGCGATCCGAAAATTTCACAGCCAATGAAAATGAAGATATTGTTTTCGTCGTTTGAAATACCCTAAAGAAGATTCGATACCTGACCCGACCTCATTTTCCAATTCCACTGGGCAGCAGCAAGTCCCATCCCCATCATCATCTCTTCCTACACATCATACAGCAGCATCATGACCGCCAGCACAGCCGCAGTATTCCTCCAGAAGACGTACGATCTCATCCAGTCGACGCCGTCTGACGTCGCAGAATGGTCCAACGAAGGCCGATCGTTCGTGATCAAGAAGATCAAGGAGTTTGAAACGAACGTCCTGCCCAAGTACTTCAAACACGGCAACTTTGCCAGCTTCTCCCGGCAACTGCGCTTCTACGGCTTTGACAAGACCAAAAAACACGACATCCGCATTGTCCAAGACGGCTCGAACGGTGACTCGTGCCAAGGGTGGTGGGAGTTTGCGAACCCCAACTTTCAGCGCGATTGCCCTGAGCGTATGGTTCATATCCGGCGCAAGACGTACTCGGAACCGAACGCGGCATCCTCCCCCTCCTCTACCACGTCCGAATCGTCGTCGGAAGTGTTGCACCTGAAACGCAAGATGTCGAGCCTGCAGACTCAGTTGTCGGCGTTGACAAACCAGATCTCAGCACTCACCTCGGTCGTCCATTCGTATTGCCAGCCCGAGGCCGATGATGCCGACGCGTCCACGTGTGCCAAGAAGTTGAAGGGATCGTCATCCCCCATCTCCAAGTGGACCGACGACGACGCGGTCACGTTTGCGGCGTCGGACGACGAGATCGATTCCGGCATCCTTGATGCGCTTCTTGAGTTCCCCGCCATGGCCACGCCGCTGATTGCGTTTGAGCTGTAGATGACGACGCCACCGACGACGAAAACCAGATTCGATCAACGTGGCGGGGTATATGCTAGATATCCCGCCCGACTGTTGCTGTTTGAGCGGCTTACCTTTCCCAAGACTAAGCCCAAACCCAGTCGTAATCTAATCCCAATCTCCGTCCTATTTGACTTTTCAGTGTCACACACACACACACATGCCGTTCGCTCTGTACGTCGACGTCAATGCTGTGCCGACCATCGATGATGGAGACAATCCTCCCTGGACACTTTACGCATCTTGCGACTACCTCCCATGCATGGCCTGGACCGTTCATCATGCATCGCATGACGTTTGGTTCAGCATACATACGTTCAAAATGCGGTAGGGGAGCTGTAGAACAGTCATCTGGAGATGGACGGATTCTTCGTTCGCCAATGCAAACAAGTATTTTTTCGAGCAAAACAATGGGTTATTTCAGTAATTTTTCGAGAAAAGTTGGACTTACAGTTAATAGGAACAAGTGTTGTTTTCTTTTGGGACGAGTCAAAATTGATGTACGTTAAATTCGAAGTATAGTGTAACCTCTGTCCATCTTAAGACGGGGTTGGCTCAAGACGGGGTTACTGTAGTGATTGATAGCTAACCACCAGATCTCGTAGCATGAGCGTTATATGTACTTATCCTTGACGATTTACGGGTGAATGGGGTTCAGGGCTACGAGGTGTCGGGGTTCCGAGGGTACAGGGCTACAAACATGCGTTGGAACGGAGAATTTAGGTGGTTGAAGGAAGTGGTTGAAAGTAATGCTCGTAAACCTTCAACCTGACCAGATTTGGTGTGAAAGAGCATCTCCACGGTATCCCCAAATAATTTTCCCATAAAATATCCCAGAACTTCTATTCCACCGTTTCTTCCCGTTGCAGTACGGATATTTTGGGGATTATCCGGGTGATTCTGTATATTTGCCTCGGATATCCCAATAATTTGCACTTTTTGGGATATCCGAGGCAAATGGGACAAAATCACCCGGATATATAAGTCCCCAAATACTCCGAATACAATAATAAGTACTCCGGAGTAAGGTAATGCATCAATTGTTGACACGGCACCAAATTATGAGACCGTCTGACTTTTAGCCAATAGCATATCGATATTTCGTGTTGGCCTTGTATGATTGGATATGATAATATTCGTCTCTATATTTTATTACATGTCTCAATGCTGAAGTCTGGTCAGTTTTTTCAATCTCAAACAAAAAAATACAAGTATTTAACACTTGACACTGTTCCGCCATACATGCCTACGAGAGCGTCACGGCAGTTGTGTATAGCTACGTGATAAATGGAAGTACTCACTTTAGAGCCATCGCTATTATAGACAAAGAAGCAGCAGTGTATTGCTCGTCGCAACGAGTGGATGGCCTCCTATATGCTGCTACTGTTGTGATCAGCGTCAGTGAATTAAAATGTGACTGCATTTGTTTAATCTGACTAATTAAATTCATGTAAATTTTTATTACGTATTGCAAAATGCATGCAAATATATTTTTGATCAAATTATTTTGCATATTAATTTGATCAAATACAAACATCAAGGTTTTTAAAGGGTGTCATGAATTGATTCACCTCAAAAATCGTGACCATAAAGCTCAAAACATTTAATTTCGATACAAATCTGAAATGTAGTCTAATCATGCTCAATGATACATCAAAAAAATGGTGGCGTTTTATATTCCCTTGTGGTGCTATCAGCATTAAAATAATCGTTCTCGTTCTCGAGCTACTGGGATTTGAAGTACTTGACCAAAAACAGGGTCAACAATTGATGCATTACCTTATTTAAATAACAAAATCACCCGGATAAGTCCCCAATAACGTTATCCGTAACTACAAGGTACAACTGTGGTAAACGTTAATGATTCTTAGGGATGGTGAGATGGGAATGCGGTGGAGATGCCCGCTCAGAAGTCTAACTGTTGCTCGAAAATGCACCACTTTTGCTCGAAAATAATTCGCACGCTCGTAATCAAACTCGTCGCATGGATGCATTATAGTTAGTGTATGTACTTATCATCATATCAACGCTTCGTTGTGCATGTACTAGTATGTATGTATATATATGTGATGGGCGCGGAAAGCTGTGGGAAGTGACGAACCTACAGTACATACAGTACATGCAGTAGCCATCCTCTGCGACATAAGCGATTCCAAAATGACGACTTTGTATTCGATTCCGCTGTTCAAACGTAAGCTAGTACAGAACTGTAGTAATCGTATGGACTTCAACTCTTGGCCACCAGTTACAGTATTAGGATGCTTTTTGGAAAAGTGCCCCGACTACAAAATCACATAAGTTACAGTTATTAACCCGCTCGGATGGGAAGCAAAGTTAATACTAATCAAATATAGGTGTGATGGGCGCACGAGGCTGTGGGAAGTGACGAACCTAAAGTACAGTACATGCAGTAGCCATCCTCAGCGACATACTAGTAAGCGAGTCTGAAAGGGCGACTTTGAATTGGATTCTGCTGTTCAAACGTAAACAGTTCAACTATTGGCCACCAGTTACTGTATTTTAGGATTCTTTTTGGAAAAGTGCCCCAACTCCTTACCAGTACGTATTTAATAAATCTGTCGTAATTTAAAAAGATACTTCGAAGTAGCATCGAAATTCTTCAGTAACGATAACGTAAGATAAGTACCCTAGTCGACACGGGCCATTAGGTTGGATCTGAGGTTTTATCGAGTGTTAAACTCGGTGGACATCCTTCCACAACAGAAGTATAACTCTATAAAACAATACTCTTGTGTAAATTATATTCAACCAGTTGTAACCGCTTAACCTAAACACAGAATTTCAATGCTCTGACACATACATACTTTAAGCCAAAAAAGTATTTTAAATTGGTTATCAAAATGTGAGTGCATATGCTTAGAAAGTATCAAATATACCTGTGACGTTCATCGTCTAAACTGATAATTCGGTTATGAAGCGAAAGCGGCGCGTCTTGTCTATTGGAACCACTACTCAAAACTAAAATATCGTACGTAACAGACTCGAAAGTTATGCCCATTCCACTCCGACGCCTCCAAAAAAAGTTATCTTAACGTTACAGTTAATTTGTTTTTTTACGTTATAGCAAAAAGATCACATACAGTGCGCGCCATGTACTTAAAGCCACCCAGTTTTTGGCTGTTAAAATCCCGCCAATTAGAGTTCACGATTACCTGTTTGGCTCACTTGATGCAGCTTGATTGGCGGGATTTTCTGGTATAATGTGGTGTCCTCTGCGGTTCAATCAACCAATTTGCCGCCAAAATTGTACTTTTGCCCCGCGACAAGTACTTAAAGCCACTTCCAAATTTCCGCTCTATTGAACGGCACACACGACGTAACGTTAAAAGCTTCTGTCAACATCTAAGTAAGACTACTCTAAATGCCACGTAACCACTAACAACCTTTACAGCATGGCAAAAGAAGCTCAACTCACCGACGAAGAGAAAGGGGCCATTGCGGCCTTTCACTTGGTCGGAATGTCCAACCGCGCCAACGCCAAGACCATGGGAAGGTCCAAGGATATAGTATGCAACTACATCTTGGACCCTCAAGGCTACGGCACTCGTTGCCGTGGAATGCCGCGACGCATTCTTTTCGAACGGGATTGCCGCCTCCTACTTCGCGAAGCTTGCAAGACTGGATCATCGGCCAGGGTTCTCAAAACAACCCTGAACTTGGTAGGCTCGTTGCGAACATGTCAACGACGACACCAAGCGTGCGGGCGCTTGAAGTTTGAGAAGCGCAAACATACTCCACGACTTACCCCGAAGCCCAAGGAAGCCCGGTCGGAATACGCAATGAGGAACCTCAGTGAGTCGACCAATTGGACTAAAGTCATCTGGTCCGACGAGAAGAAGTTCAATCTCGATGGACCGGATGGCTTTCAGTACTATTGGCACGACTTACGAAAGGAGCCTGACACGTTTTTGACGCGGCAAAAGGGCGGCGCCGGTGTCATGGTTTGGAGGGCTTTTTCCGGCGCGGGGTTGTCGGAACTGGCCTTCCTAGAGGGCACCCAAAACTCCGACAAGTACGTGGAAACGATCTCAAACTTTATGTTGCCCTTCGGCCATCAACATTACGGCGAAAACATGGTTTTCATGCAAGATGGTGCCTCTATCCATCGGTCGAAGATGTCGTTGGAGTTTTTCAAGGAGCAGCATGTGGAGCTTTTTTCGCATCCTGCTCTGTCGCCCGACTTAAACCCTATTGAAAACTTGTGGGGGCTGCTTGCTCGTGTTGTGTATGCGAACGGACGTCAATTTATGACGAAAGAAGCGCTAATTTCGGCGATTAAAAGGGCTTGGAATAGCTTGTCACAATCCTACCTTAATAAGCTCATTGCATCAATGCCTAAGCGCTGCAGTGAAGTTGTGCTTGCACGTGGGGACAAGACGAAGTACTAGTAGCATAAAAGTGCTATAATCCTGGACATTTTTCTTTGAATTTGTTGAAATATGTAAGGTGGC